ACTGTATGATGAAATGCAATAATTATCTGCCAAGCAATAAATCATATGGCTGCATTTGTTTGAGAAGACCTGGTAAATATTTTAAATACATAGGAGCATGAAAACAGAGTCATTATTTGATATGGGAACAATATCTTTGAATTTCACCCGATGCAGTGAAAAAACCCAAAACTTTTGCTCTTCCTGTTGCATAAATGAAATGTTATTGACCTTTAGCTGTTCTTTAACATTTTTAATGAAAATGTAAAACAGATTATGTATCTCATTGAAATTTCAATAAATTTTTATCCTAAAAGTAAGGATTTTCTTCAAGATACAACAAAGACAAATCTGGACAAAAACCAAATCAGTTTCAATTATATAAGAAACTCCTTCAAAAGTTCTCTCCTAATTGTAGAATTACAGTCTAAGAAAAATCTCAAAATACTAAGATATTTCTTGTACTTATGAACGTCTATTTGGAGAGTCTTCTTACATCAAAGTTTGTAAATTTTTTAATTGTCTTTTAGGAGACATAACACTTCTAGTAGACTTTCCTTAAAACTCAAAGGCAATGAATAAGATCACAGTCATCAAAAAATCCTTCAAAGTGCATAATCTTTTGATCAACAAAATATATCCCTCTATATTCTAGAGAAACTTGCGGAAGATAGTGAATACACTTTCTTGAGAGTGAATACATAATTCTTAACTGTGAGATTGCTGAATTTACAGTGAATGTTGTTCATGTTGATACATCATTTATGCTGAAGCTATAAAAAACCCTGCACTAATGATACCCTCCTACAGTTAGTGCTTGCAAGTGTTATAGTCTAAGAACTGGATTTTTCTAAGGATCTGATAGCAAATGCAAATTTTTTATATCACTGCATGTCTCCTGCAGGACATTTCTAAACTCCAAGAAAGATACTACAAAAATAATAGTTATTAACATTTTATAAAAATTACAAAAAAAATGGTTTCCAACACAGGCCAAAGAAGATTGAATTCAGATTCTAAGAAAGGATTATATACGTTATATGATGTCTCATGTTATGTATATGCACTTGGTGTGATTTACTTAATGTAACATCCAGGGGTTTAAAAACTATGCAAAAATTTAAACTGCAATAATATTAATATCTATAGTTGTGACTATTCATGTAACAGTGTTTTGGTGTGTACTTTATGTATTACAAGTAATGTTCAAAACATTCTATGGGATATTTTTGAATGTATGTAGCTATAAATTGAGTAACAGAGTAAAGCACAGATCTTTCCAAAACAATGTAAAAGCTAGATTCAAATTTTTAAAGAAAGCCATTTTTATGTCAGTTAAAAAATATCTAAAAATCTAAAAAAAACTGAGGTACCTTTCTGCTGCAAAAAGAACTCAGTTTTCCTGTTATTTCTGTAACATCAGAAATGTCAAAGGATTATTTCCAAAGATTTAAGGCAATTAGGAAAGGGGTGTAGGGTGAATATATATAATCTACTTTTGCTCTTACTGGGAATCTTAAATAAGATTGTCTCTCCTTCTAACCCTAAATACATAATGTAGTGATTAGTCACAATGTAATCATTAAGGGTAGAAAAGGGGGAAATACTGTACCCATAATACAGATAAGGGGAGGAACCAGTGGTCCACCCCATCCGAGCTGAAGGAAGGTTATCCTATATGAAATAGAAATATATAGCCTGTTATTAGTTGTGAATCTGTAATGACAGACACTTGATGGTATGTTTTATAACTCAGTCACATGAGAAATGTTTCTTTCCTACTAATGAAGTTTGGAGTACTCTTGAAAATGCCTCATTATCGCTTTCCTGGTAAGGGAATCTAAGGAATAGCCATTAAATTTTAGAGGATATTTAAGACATCAAATACTCTAATTTAGTTTTCCAAGTTATGAAATTGGACTGGAAATTTGAAATACAGTAAATGTTTAAAGCCATCAGCCAGAAATATGCATAAGGCATGCAAAACTGAAAGTGCAAGTGGATTTCAGATTGTTTGCTGCCTTCTACTATTTCTCTAATAAAAAAATCAAGCACGGCATGACATGCTTTATTTTGTGAAATTAGACACAAATGCATGCTTTATTGTCACTTAATTCTCTAACTCAGCAAAGCAATGTATACTCAGTATTCTACATTTACAAGTAGCATACCAATTCAGAACTAGCGCAAAAGCATTATATTGCAAGTACTAAAAAGCTAAACAAAAAGCAATGGGTATATTCAAATCTCAGTATTTATTTAAATTCAGTACATATACTAAATGAGATGAGAATATAAACCCTAAGACAGAAATTTAAATTAAATTAAAGCAATTCTTTACTTTGCCTTCCAGCATCTGGGTGGAGTCGTTTTTGAGATTCACTATAGAATGTATTAAAATTTCTCAGAATTCTGTACACTAGCAGATATTTTAATGCCTTTATTATGGCCAAATTCACATCTGTGCTCAAGGCAAGCACAGGCTATGGACCACGTGTACCCCGTTTTGGTGCAAGTGATTCATATATCTTGTATTCATTTTGGAAAGAGAATTATCCCATTTATGAAACAGCGTAATTACAAATTAAGTTGTAACTACAGAGTATAACTGTAGACTTATAAGAATATAACTTAAAAAGTGAAGCATGTTTCATATTTAGGGATAACAGAATATTTATTAGTATTTATGGACTATGTAAAATGCTGTATTCTTCCAATTGACCAGAATGGTAAAGTTATTTAAGAAAAAGATTGATTTAAAGTAGCTGAGAACTTAGCAGATTGTTTTATAAAATGATGCAGAGCTTTTTACAAACAGGGACTTCTGTGGAATACATATGACCTCTCATATTTTCAATGCAAAATTTGCACAGTTTTGAACATGGGGGTAAAAATGAAAATCATAAATACAAGCTGAATAAAAACTCAGCTTGTTTTGTCACAGCTCAGTGTAGGTATAGGCAATATGAGAAAGCAATGAGGGTTGATTTCTTTTTACTTTCTGTTGGCAGATAAAAGAATCTGGTTTTATGGATTTTTATGAAATGACCTCAGTTTCTGGGAATACTGTAATTTGACTATAGTCTTATCATGAGCTGGTCAATTATTTGTTATTTGAATCTTTTTACTGTTCGTGAGTCATTCATAAAGTAATGCTACTATCTGTCAATGAGCTGTTGTGAATTCTTGCCAAGCGCTTTGGAAAAAACATTTTCAGAAGTACATATAACTAATAGTAAAGATAAGGCCTATCCATTTGGCCAGTCAAATTTGCTAAGTGACTGGAATCAGGCACTTCACTGAGTATAATTAATATTGGAGAATCACAGACTTCTCTGTGATTCCTGCGCAGTAAGTTGCTTGTGAATTATTCATGTTGGGTATCTGAAATTATATCGTATGATTAGGCTTCTGGCATTGTTTCATAGTTATTCAGTAAGAAATAAGGGAAAGCAGTAAATAGATTTCAAATAACTGGTACTTTTCTTTAAGCATGAATATCCTAAATCTCTTAAGTGGAAAACTTACTAAGGCAATCATGTAAGGATACAGAAAAATGGAATAAAACATTTGGCAATCAAATTTGACATTATCTTTCTAGAAATGATCTGTTTTTTCCAACGTCATCTAAAGAGCTCCATTTCTTGTCCCTGTGTAACTTCTATACTGGTCTCCCAGTCCTCCTGCAGCTGACCAGAACATTATTAAAAAAGTAAAGCTGACAGCAATTTCCTGACATTTCTCTGCACAAGACCACATTTATCTGAATGTTCATGAACAGTAAGTACAAAGAAAGAGAAAGAGAAAATGGCTAAATCCAATTGTCATTCCAAACTTAAAGGAAAATTCGTACATTCTGTAGTACTTGACCAGCTCTTACCCTGCTGAATATCAATTCATGAGTTTCAAATGATGAGAAAACTGTCCAAAGTCAATTTGCTATACAAAACTGAAATTTATTAATCTAGTAATCATTGGTCAGCAATATTTTTTTCTGATGCATTCTGAAGTAGAGATATGTAGCCTGATGAATACAATTTAAGCAACAGAATTCTAAGCCTCAATTTGACTTGATTAAGCTTAGATTTGTATCTAAAGGTTGTTCAGACAGTATATTCCAGGCTATTCTACTGGTTTATAATTGACTTGAAATTCATTAGCACATTGTTTCCTCTTACATCTCCATGAAGTAGCAAAAAGCATTCTTTTAAAACGTGTTTCAATGACATGCATATAGAGTTAGTTTGAATTCAGTGGCTTTAAGGAACAGAAGGTATAAACAAATGAAAAAATAAGTTAAAATGCTTTCTTGAGTGAGATGAATAGTAAGCAGGGCCTCTAAGTTACTCAGAATAAGTAAGAAATAGCCTTATATACATTGTATTGAATATTGAATATCGAATATCGAATAGAGATCTGTTGAAATAAGAAAAGCATTTACCTTACAAAAAGAATAGTTTCATAGAGAAATCTAATAACTTGATTTGTTTTTAAAGTCAGCCAAACTCAGAAATAGATTTAAACCACTAGCAGGTATGAATATATCTCTAGCACCATCCAGTAAAATTCAATGGGGTTAGACCAAAGGTGGTTTATCAAATATGAAGGAAAATGAAGGATTTCACCTAGTAACAGAAAATACCTTGATTAACTAATGCTAAATTAGATTCCTATATTAATATTGTGATATGTTTATCAGTAAAAATTAATAAAATCTGGTTACATTTTATTCATTATTAAGCATCTGTTAAGAGAGTTTGTAGTTGGTAATTTCAAAGCCTTATATGAAAAACTCCTGAGATTGGCTAGAAAGTAAAGTAACCTTAATGAATGTAACTTCTATGTGATACTGCATATGGATTTAGGTGAATTGATGAAGCTTTTTGCTTATCTGTTAGTAAAAGATATGCAATAGGTAAAAAGATAGTGCAGCCTTTCTGCATGGACTTGTCATTCCTTATTCTGCATGCATGGATTCTTTCTATGCATGCATAGTTTCAGATTCTTTCATGTTGTCTTACCCTCATGCCTTCAAATCGTGACAAAGCTCTTAGAGGTCTCAAAGCTCTTAGTGTCCTAAGGGACTTAATGGCACCAAGTTCAGAGTAACCCAATGCATTTGCTGTTAAGCTAACCAAAGAGACCTATATGAAAACAGGAAAGTAAAAATTATTATATTGTACATATTACTTTACATACCATAGATGTGAGATATAAACTTCTTTAGAAGAATCTAATTTTGGACCACTTTCTTCAGGAATAGGAAGTCTTTTAAATAAAAAAAAAAAAAAGTCATATGAAATAACAGTAGGATAGGTAAATAAACAAACAAAAATATCATAAGGTAACAATATCTGGAAACATTAACAGTTCTGAATTCCATAGTTTCTTTGTGATTTGAGGGCATTTAAAACCACAAAAAGCAAATTAAATTAATCTCTCCTTTTCACGAATTTAGGTATTCCTCTCACTTTTTCTTTGTTTTACAATGCTGTTGGGATCAGTAATTACAGTTGACAACACCCAATTGATTGCCCACAACTGAAAGGGAAATGATGGAAGCCTGTTTTGAATTAACAGATGGGTCACAGAGCAACACTGCTCCTCTGGAAATTGGTAGAAAGGATTCATTTTTCTATATTCAGTTACACTGACCTTTTGCCTCACTGCCGAATTTATGTGCTCTACAGGTTGACATTAACCTGGATTATGCTGTTTCTTAAAGATCTGATAAGAATAGTTCCATAGGTGGCAGAACTCCACAGGCCTTTATATAGTCTATGTCCCTACATTACCTCAGTGATAAATACCATATTATCTACATTTGCTATGGCTCCTGTCCAAAATAATACCTTCTGTTTTCTTCCCATTTCCCCTAGATGCTCCTTCATTACCCTGTTCTAAGTCCTTAACTATTTATTGGGCCAAAAATAGCATAATGGTCTCATGTACTCTTTCATTATAAAGAACTATGCATCAAGTAAAGAGAACTCTGGGACAGTGCTCTTTGTGAACCATATTTAAAAATAAGCATTGTATGTGAAGTCTTTAGCTTTAAAAGTTAATAGCTTTTCTGTATTTGTCAATCCTGAGATCTAGCAACCCACAAAACTAGGTTCTTCTGAAATCTGATTTTTTTTCTCCAGCACATTCATCATACTCCTGAAAACTTTGAAGTTTTCAAGCTGCCATAATGTACACCTAAATTAAAGAAAATATCCAGGTGTATAAATCCAGGATTTAATCATGAGCTTCTTCAGACACATGAATGTGTTATACCTTCCCACAAAGAAGTATTCAAATTTTCACATTCACAAGACGGCTGTTTGGGATATTATGATTTAAATAAGGTCAAATGTTAGTGAAAATGAGTTTAGAAAATGAATAGGTGCTTCCGCTTGCATGCTTCTTCAAGCTTTTTTTGTGCCACTTAAGTACCCATTTTGAGAAGAATTTAGATACTAAAGAAGGAAAGGTTTTTCCAAAGAAAGGATACTTCTTTTGGATGAGGACTATGTTTGAACATGGTTAGCTGTAGCTGTATATGTGAAGTTAAATCCTAGATATATTTATACCCAAAATGTCCACCAACCAAAAATTGTTGTAGGCCCCAGTCACAAAAGAAAGCTTGAGAAAATGAACTGCTGTGATTAGCCTTTGTATGCTAGGAACACATTCAGAAACTGTTGGATTTTTAGCAATTCTTTGGGTCAAAAACCAGAACAAAATGCATCTTACTTTTAAAATTGAGCTTGTTTAGTGTTTGTTTTTCCTATAAGTTTTACCAGAAATTTCTATCTTAAAAATGGAGCATCTGGTTGTGGTTTCATAACTATGTAAAACATAGTATTTTAATTTCACACACAGAACTTTGTAGACCGCAGAAACAGTGTGCATTTCTGCACATTGGAGGTTTTCTCAAGGAGGTATACTTACGACATTACTTCTTAAATTCTCCATAATTGTATCAATGCATTAAGAAATGGTCTCCCTCATTTCACAGCACAGCACAGCACAGTAGAGTTATGGGATAACCCTTGCAGGAAAGATTATTGAGCCTGGTTTCAAACATGGCTGTGAGAACTGCAAGTTCAGTAATATTTATTGGACTTTAGTACTAAGTAAGCCACACCACCAATGCTACAGATACATCTTGCATTCCTTGTAAAACCCTAATTCAGATAAAATAAATATTAAAGTAACACCTAGGAAATATACTACATACATCGACAATCAGGAAGTCCAGCCAGCACCAGGCATTAGTAAAGTATGTTTGATAGCCATAGGCCACCCACTTCAGCAGCATTTCCAGAATGAAGATGTAAGTGAAGACCTTGTCAGCATATTCCAGCATGGTCTTGATAGTTTTACGCTGTTCAATATATATGTCTTCAAAAGCCTGTGAGAAAAAACATTCAAAGATATTTGTTATTCCAATTTGTTACTTCACATACTTCAAGTTGTAACAAAAAAAAAAAAAGGCAATAAAAGTCAATCTTTCTTCAAGAAAAGGCATGGGAACTGTATTTTCCAGCTCACAGGAGGGAGAAGAGATATACAGCAATCGCTCCACTGGTCAGAGATTTTTATTTGTTAATTTATTGATAATGGTGAATTCTTCTTCTCAGATCTCACAAATAGCACTGATTCTGCAAAGTGGTGTGCCTGAACTGAATTCTACTGAGATCATTTGGTTTTTAGGAAGGTAGATATATTTTTAAAATCCAGGGCCATAGCTGTAAAATTTTCAGGACAATGACAATACAGTTTACCTTTTGTTTTTATCATAGAATCATTGACTGTTTTGGGTTGGAAGATCATCTAGTTCCAACCCCCCTGCCATGGGCAGGGACATCTTCCACTAGACCAGGTTGCTGAAAGCCCCATCCAGCCTGGCCTTGAATACCTCCAGGGATGGGGCATCCGCAACTTCCCTGGGCAACCTGTGCCAGTGCCTTACCACCCTCACAGTAAAGAATTTCTTCCTAGTAGCTAATCTAAATTTACCCTCTGTCAGTTTAAAACAGTTACACCTCATCCTATCACTGCACTCCCTGATAAAAGAATCCCTCCCCATCTTTCCTGCAGGCCCCCTTTAAGTACTGGAAGGCTGCTATTAGGTCTCCTTGGAACCCTTCCTTCTCCAGGCTGAACAAATCCAACTCTCTCAGCCTGTCCTCATAGAAGAGGTGCTCCAGCCCTCTGATCGTCTTCGTGGCCCTCCTCTGGACCTGCTCCAACAGGTCCATGTCTTTCTTATGTTGGGGGCCCCAGAGCTGGACACAGTACTCCAGGTGGGGACTCACAAGAGCGGAGTAGAGGGGCAGAATCACCTCCCTTGACCTACTGGCCGTGCTTCTTGTGATGCAGCCCAGGATACAGTTGATTTTCGGGGCTGCAAGCACACATTGCCGGGTCACGTTGAGTTTCTCATCAACCAACACTTCAGGTCCATCTCTTCAAGGCTGTTCTCAATCCATTCTCCACTCAGCCTGTATTCATGCGTGGAATTTCCCTGATCCATGTCAGGACCTTGCACTTGGCCTTGTTGAACTTCATGAGTTTTGCATGGGCCCACCTGTCAAGCCTGCCAAGGTCCCTCTGGATGGCATCCCTTCCCTCTAGTGTGTCGACCACACCACAGAGCTTGGTGTCGTTGGGAAACTTGCTGAGGGTGCACTCAATCCCACTGTCCATGTCACTGACAAAGATGTTAAACAGCGTCAGTCCCAGTACTGACCACTGAGGAATGCCACTCATCACTGGTCTCCACTTGGACATGGAGCCATTGACCTCAACTCTGAGTGTCACCATCCAGCCAATTCCTTATCCACCGAGCGGTCCATCAGTCCAATCCATGTCTCTCCAATTCAGGGACAAAACTGTCTCTAAGTCCTGTTGGATGTCTCTTTTAAGTCTCTTTAAGTCCCTTTTAAGTCTTTTAAAGTCCCTTTTGAGTCTTTTAAGTTTGATGTCTCTTTTAAGTCCTGTTGCTTTTTGAAAATTTTAAGTAATTAATCATAAAACTAGTTCTTCCTTGCTTTATTGCATTATTCACATTTTATGATACATAAAATTCCTGAGATCCTTGCAGTGTTATTTGCACTGTTTTCATTTTTAGACATTTGAAAAAATGTATAGCTTCTGCTTTTTAGAAATTCTTCCTGTCCTCTAAGAAATTTCCGCTTTAATTGCTTTTAAATTTTAATTATGCTATTACTTCTTATGGAGAACAATTGATTTTATTGGATTGAAAGAACTGGAATGATCTGCTAGCTTGCAAAGATTTGGATATTTATTGATATTAACATTCATTTTTACCCAGCCTGCTTTTGAATTACTTTACATCCCTCAGCCCAAATGATTAGTGCTTGTCTATCAATCATCGAATTAACGTCTCTGTGTCAGTAATTTTGGATACTTAGATCAGTAGTATGATACCTGACACATATATACACACACTAACAACTTCATTGCACAAAACTGGGAAGAGCCAACATGTCATTTCCATTTTATACGTGGGAGTATGCCAGAGGCTAAGCTAGCAGTGCTCTTGGCAGCTAGAAGTGTATCTGCTACCTGCCTGAATGCCTCTAGGGCCGGGGTTTGCAGGCAGCCTGCAGTGTGCCTGTCCCTGCCAGATATCCTGGCTGTAATGACAGTGATACTCATCTGGAGTGTGACCTTGGGGTGAACATCGGGATAAGGTAATGGCAGGTCCAAAGAGACCTTTTCACTGTCACAAAGGAAGTTGAAGGCAGAGCAGGGTCTCACATCTCCAGAGGCTTGGGCTAATCCCTGGTCTCTGAAGCATTTTGCCAAAATAAATGTTCTGTGGATGACACACACCTTCATAAGCACAAGATGCTAACACTGTGTGATCTCACCTCAAACTTCCTCTAAAGACAATGATGGAAATTCGTCTTTATCAGATGTCTTGCCAGTACTTTTCTCTCATTTAAATTCATGTTATTGAACATTTTCTCCACTTAGTAGAATGAACCAAGATTCAGTAGTGTAGATGTGAGTCTTTTGTTATTTCAGGGGTTTAAATCACAGGGAAGGTGTCACATGGTGTTGAGTAAAAGTTGCTTATTTGATGCTTGTGTTCATATTAGACCAAACAAAAGCTGAATGATTCTTAAAGATTTAACTGAAACTAGTGACAGGTATAATCATAAACCTCTAACCAGTAATCGTATTTCAAAGTGTTGGGAGTGGTCTATAGAGTTTATAATACAATTTTGCAACATAATTTTTTTTTATGATGTAGGAACTTAAGTAATTTACCAAAGGGTGATTGCATCTACTGGGGTAGATGCTAGATATACTCTACACTATCTCAGGGCAAGTAGTTTGTCTAAGAAACTTCAGCTCATTATGTATCCAGGCTCACCTTTCTTTAACGGTTCATCTCCAATTTCTTGATTCTTTGTCATTATTTGTATTTGTGAAATAACATATGATTGGTATGTTTTGTTTCTTTTATTTTTATGGATTCATATTATGGTTGGCTTCTTTTTATTCTGCCCTCACAAACTTGTTAACCTTAAAGCAAATCCATGTTATTATAGATATCACTTTAGTCTACATGAGTATGAGTCAGTAGAAGCTGAATTAGAACCATAAATAATAAATTCTTACTCTTAGAAAGGAATAATTACAAACACGCAGTCTTAATCTTTCTTGCTGTTCTAGCACACAAGATTTATAAAACTGTATAAGCCAGCTCTGGCTCTTGTAAGGTACTGTCAGCTGTTTATGCCATTACAGTTACTTCCAAACTCTTCTTTTTTCACAGAATCATAGAATCGTCTAGGTTGGACCTTTAAGATCACCGAATCCAATCATCAGCCTAACGCTGACAAAACCACCACTAAACCATGTCCCTAAGTACCACATCTACCAGTCTTCTAAATACCTCCAGGGATGGTGACTCAACCACTTCCCTGGGCAGCCTGTTCCAATCTTCGATAAACTTTCGGTGAAGAAATTTTTCCTAATACCTGTCCTAAACCTCCCCTGGCACAACTTGAGGCTGTTTCCTCTTGTCCTATCATCAGTGACAGTTCTTTTCCCTGAGTTATATCTGTAAACACCAGTAAAACCAGAGAGCAAACTCAAATAAACAAAGTTAAGTATGTTCTCTTCACATGTTGTCCCTCCCTGCTTCAGGTGTATCACTATTGCTTTCAGCAAAAGAGTTAAGCTCTCTCTAATCAATTATGTCTGTTCATTTTTCAACATATTTTTGAGAAGAGACTTTTTATTCCGTTCTTTCAAAGGCCTGACTAAACTTTAGTCGTGTCATTTGAATTGTGTGTTCTTTCTGGTGGAGAAAACAAAGTTAAAACAATGCTTGAAGAGCCAACTTTTAAGTTTTCTGACAACATTGTGACACTCTCTTCATGTTTTACTTACCAGAGCTCCACTACTGAGCAGAATCATAAAGACAATGAAAGTCTCAAACCAGTTGTGTTCGACAATCTTGAAGCAGGTTTTTCTAAGGTTCCACCACTGCTTTCCTCTCCCTTCTTCTATACTTACTTGACAGCATTTGAACCTTCTTACACAGCCTTTAAAACAGTGTATCAAGAGGGAGGGGGGGAGAGAGATTTTGTTGAATTGTGTTATTAATTTTTGTTATTCATTCTGTTAATGATACAATGCTACCTTTCCAGAAGCTGTGCTATTAAGTAAAAACCCAATAGATTTTCACCTAGTTTACCTTCTTTTTCTCCAGAGCAAAAAAAAATTTAACACCGAGATAACTGAATTTACAATTAAATGAACAAGTGAGAAGAAAGTATTTCTCATTTATCAAGAACAAAGTGCTCAATACAGTGCACACAAAAGGATAAAAGTCCATGGAACAAGAAGCCAAATTACAAAACACAAAGTATGAGTAAAAATATACATAGTCATACAAATGTATAGTATGTTTCTGTAGTAAGATATAGGCAAGTGTTATTAAATTGTACTTTTTTTTTGTTTTGGATACTAAATTCAGACAATGTTGTATTTATTTTATGAAAAAATTCTAAGCCTCCTATCTGAGTTCTGAGCTTTTCAGTACTGACTAACTTCCCTAACTTGTGCCCTTAAGTTATTTAAGCTTTTGTGATTTAGCTACTGACTTGATTTTGTTTCTTCTTTCATTTAGGTAGAAAGATACTGGTAATCAATAATGGTATTTTCTTTGACAAATCCAAGTCTGTTGCAGTACTACGGCTTACTAGTTCAGTGAAAATTTCTAAAGAAATGTCTGTTATCATGTGCAGAAATAACCCAACTCCAGCACTGACAGTAGCATTTATTTTCCAAACTCTACAGATACCAAAAATGGCATTTGTATCCTTCCGTTACTGTTTTAAACCTATTCCTTTTCCCATCTCCTTTACACGCACACATCCATAAGGTTTCTCACAAGGAAATGCCTTTGCAAATAAAGTTTATGACCAGATTCTTGTTTTACTGAGTTTTGTAAAAGGGCCAATAGAAGGAAGCATGAAAGATGAATGAGTCCACCAGGTGAGACTGTTCTTGCCCCAGGTGGCGCATAAAGACTCTTCCTTCTCTTTTTGCCAATTTGTAGGTTCATTTACCATTTTGCACAAAACCATCCAGGTGTAGTTTTTATTTACCACTCAACATCTGTTTCAGTAATGTACACTTTATAATGCACTTTGATACATATCTATGAAGAATGGTATAAATATAGTGTGTATTTTATTATCTAGAAGACTAACTAAACTCAGAAAGTACAGCAGTTTGTAGTAAAATAAAACTTTCAGTAATATATTTTTCTTATTTTAAAAATAATGATAAATTTTGGATAAAATTTTTTCTTAGTTGTTTATCTGATACACACGGTATAGTCATGGTATCAGTATCCGTATGGTAAGTTATGTCTAAAAGTACTACTGCTAACAATCATAATTTAAACATTAACAAAAGAGTAACTCAAAATATAAATATTGATACTTAGTTTGAATAGATAACTATTCCATATTGCGTGAATAACTATTATTAGTATGTTTGTTCCAAACACCTTCTGTGAAGCAGGCCTCTGGCTCCTGGGCTTCTTCAGGTTGTTCTTCTGGTTGTTCTTCTGCAGGAAGTCCAATATCAACTGTGCTACCTTCTGATGAACTAGATGAATTTAACTTCTGTAAAGGGAAAAATAAAAGCATCACAAATGCACAGCAAATATTTTTAAGGCAAATATTAGTTGCTTTCAGAATAAGTAAATAATTCTGTCATGTTTTTGAATTTTCTAGTATTCAACATCACTAAGTGGCTGATACACACTTGAAATTTGTACAATCTTTGGTTTTCCTTCTGCATTGTATGGATCCATTAACTAGAAGGTGTATCCATGATAGATAAGGCTTTAAACAAAATTATGCTTTAAGCTGAAAAATGTGAATGAGTATGCTAAGCCTGCAAAGATTTATGACCACATTTAGCTATAAGTGGCAATGATCTCTTGACCTACATAGAAATAATGAAGCTTAAATATGTATGCAGGAATCTATAGCATCTACTGAAAAGCAGGTAAGAGCCTAAATGTAATTATTGAAATGAGGTGGGAGCTAAGAGGAGCGAGGTAAAAAAACACTGAGAAAGCTATGCTTTAGAGGTCAGCAAGTCCAGATTAAACTTGCTGAAAGTCTAGCTCAGAGTGAAGCAGAAGCTGCATACAATAAGGCTGAGGTAGATTAAAGATGGTCCATAAAACATGAGATCATGGGTTTTAACCAAAACAAATTTTCAATATCTCAGTGAGTGTAAAGAGAGAGGAGTGAAAGGTGGAACCCACATTTTAAAAAACTGAGGGAATGGATTGAGAGCAGCCCTGAGGACATGGACTTAGGGGTGTTGGTTGATGAGAAGCTCAACATGAGCTGGCAACATGCACTCGCAGCCCAGAAGGCCAACAGTATCCTGGGTTGCATTACAAGAAGCACGGCCAGCAGGTTGAAGGAGATGATTCTGCCCCTCTACTCCGCTCTTGTGAGATGCCACCTGGAGAACTGTGTCCAGCTCTGGGGCCCCCAACATAAGAAAGACATGGACTTGTTGGAGTGGGTCCAGAGGAGGGCCACCAAGACGCTCAGAGGGCTGGAGCACCTCTTCTATGAGGACAGGCTGAGACAGTTGGATTTGTTCAGCCTGGAGAAGGAAAGGCTCTGAGGGGACCTTATAGCAGCCTCCCAGTACTTAAAGGGGTCCTACAGGAAAGATGGGGAGGGACACTTTATCAGGGAGTGCAGTGATAGGATGAGGGGTAACTGTTTTAAACTGACAGAGGGTAAACTTAGATTAGCTACTAGGAAGAAATTCTTTACTGTGAGGGTGGAAGGCACTGGCACAGGTTGCCCAGGGAAGTTGTGAATGCCCCATCCCTGGAAGTGTTCAAGGCCGGGTTGGGTGGGGCTTTCAGCAACTTGGTCTAGTGGGAGGTGTCCTGTCCTAAAAATTCTCAAAGCGTTGTAACATGCAACTGGGACCTGGTTGCAATCTAGCTGGTTGATATCGTGGCTAAAAGTTGGGTAAAAATTGTGAAGGAAATATATTTAAGGATGTAGAGGTAAACAAAATAATGGAATAAATGCACTATAGGTTCATCAGTGGTAGGTTGCAGTAGTCTTTTTGATATTGAGGACAAAAAAAATCCCCAAATCCCAACAGCAAAACTCTTTAAAAAGCAGTAGCGAGTTTGTTTTTTCAGCAATAATTCCATGACTCTTTGACATTGAGTTGCATGGTGCTTAATAAAATTTGTGATATATTAAGTAGCCAGTTTTTGGCTAATTTCATCTTGTGGTGACTATAGAGATTAGAAGAACAATGTTTCAGCTTCATCAGGAAAATGGGTTGATGTATCCAGTTTCAGGCTCTGTCACTATTTGTCACAAGAACCTATTTATAGAGGGATTTTTTCCAAATTAGATTACACAGATGCCTTTCTGATATTTTTTAAAAAATATTGTATACTTCCAGCAATCCAATTTTCACAAGTCTTCCTTTTCAGTATGATTTACTACTTTTCAAAATAATTTTTAAAATACTTTTCAAAATTTTTCCACGGCTTTTTCACTTTTGGAAAAAAGAAAAAGCTTTTCTTTCTCTATTTTCTTCTAAGAAGCAGATTTTCTGTAATTATTGTCAGCTACTTTTTGCACACTAAAAGTAAGCTCTCTGAAATTAACAGCATAGTTTATAATTTTAAGGTGATTAATTTGTTACTTTGCTAAGGCAGAAAAGAATACTCAACTGAAAAATGAAACAAAGCAAAATAAAACAAACAAAAAACCAAAACCCCCACAGAACCTCCCAACTTCTAGAGCTAACCAGCAAAAAAGGATCCTGGCCAGCACTGTAAAACTCCAGCAATGGCACTGAAAAACTCCCTATGGTCTGAAGCCAGCTGGAACTCACCTGTTAGTGCCTTCTGGCCTGAGAAGTAGAGAATACGTACAGTCTTTTGTCAGTGGGCTCTCATAAAAAACTCAGCTAATTCAAAGGCTCTGGTGTTCTGGTGTTTATAATTTCTTTTCTACAGCCCAATTTTACCAACAGTCAATATAAAACAAGGAGTTGGACTCAAATCCAAAACAGCACTGCTGGAGGGATTTTGCACAGAAAACTATATAACAGAGCTGCTCTTTCATAAGCTTCTGGAGGAAGTCAGAAACGCCATAGTACTTTCTCAATGGGATAGAAGGTAACCCTGGTCCTACGAGTAGCAGCACATTTACAGAAACTTTCCTAAACTGAATTTATTCCCTGTTGGTCAGCCATAAACCTGCTTGGGTCACTCCATTTGACTTCCTGCTGTATGATGGGTTGGAAGACTGGACTGGACTGGCCAGCATTAAGGTAGTTGTGGGGAGAGTAGATGACCAGTGGTTGTTTTTCTCTAATGGATCTTTGTTTAAATGTTGTTTTATTTATAAATTCTTCCTGCTGGGATAAGTTCATAACGTGCTCAAATACATTCTTATAGCCTCCGCTTGTGGCAGCAGTTCAGAAGCTTGATTCAAAGCCTGATTATAAGACATTTTGGTTAATATTTAACAGGAAAAAAATATTATTGCTTCAGATATTAGTTGGGAAATGGGAACAACACTGTCTCTGAAATAGGTTGCCGTGGGGAGAGGCTGTTTTGTACGGGTCGCCTTTCTCGGGGGAGGATCCAAAGACTGCACTTAGTTTAACACTGCATTTTTGTTGAGAACACTAGGGGGCTTACGCACACTGAAGTGATGGCAGTACAGAATTCAGCTAGCCTAAAATTAGGTGTCTGGAGTACTGTTAGCAATACAACTGTGGCAGGGAAAGATGAGCAAAGAAATGGGACAGCTACCAGAATGGAAACTAGCTAGTTTAAGGTTGAGGTTCCTCAAATAAAAAAAATAATTTTGTTAAAGTGTATGGAAAGATAATTTTCTGATTTGACTAAAATGTCAACAAAGTCATTGAGGGTGTAGTTATTTCTCAAATTTTGTTATCAAATCAATTTAAATTATTTTGTTAAAATAGTCACAGAAAAAAGGAACAGTTACAACCTTAATATATTTTTTAAAAATACAGTTCTCAATAAGGCTTTGTATCTATAGCCTGCTTTGGCATTCCCTTAGTAACATGAGGTATTTTCATCTGCTGATACTATTTTTCAGTTTTAACAACTAAGTGAATTTGAAGCATATGGAAAAGTCCACAATTAAAACTTCTTTTTTATGGGAATCTAGGTCTAGAAGAGCCCACAATGTTAAAATCTAAAAGAATTCCATTGTCTAAAGGAAATACATATACTATATCTATGTTTTCTGGTTTATACCTGCTCACAAAAAATCCCATAGAGGGGGAGGTTTTGAGTGGCAGAGAGATGTATGACATGCCTCATAGGAACCTTGTTACAGGAGGCAAACAAAAATTTCTGGTGAAATAAGGATGTAGCTAAGGCTCTGCTCTGCTCTACCAGCTGTTGCAAATACCATAATCAGTTTTTGTGGATTAGTTTGGTCTCCCTTTGCTTGGTCCCTTGTCTCCTCTTGGAAACTGTAATTTTTAACCCTTTCTCACACTTTTGTTTTGTTAAACCCGCCTTTATACACTCATTTATGCCCATGTACAAAGAAGTGTCAAAATAACAAATGATCAAGAAGTGAATACAGTGGCTTATGCTTAAAAAAGAAAAATACTGAAAGGATCAGAAAGAAATGCATAAAATATCAAAATACCTCTTTGCTTTCTTCCAAGTCCGATTCACTACTAAATTCCTCTGTGTTTAGGTTTTCAAAGTCAGATTCACCCACAGCAATGGGAACTGTCACAGTGAGACTTGGGTTGTTTATGAATGACATGTAATCACTTTCATCAATTATGTATTTTTCCACACTGCTGCCTGTGCCTATGCCACTAGTTGTTCCATTTGCATCTTTAATATAGTCATGATCCTTGCTTAGTTCCACAGTTGTATGGTTAGAAATGCAGCTATTTTTGTTGTTCAAATCTTCAAGTGGCTTGATTTCATCTAAAGCTTTTTGTTTTTTAACAAAGGCTTTTTGGATGAATTCACGTGCTTTTCTTTTCACGTAATCTATGCCCTTCTGCATTCTTGCTACAGCAATTTGGAGATTATTCATTTCATTGTCATCGTCTGTCACAGCAAGGTTGTCTGCACTAAATGAGCTCAAGAGCAAGGCCAAAAATAGGTTCAGTACCTGCAGAAAGATAAAAAAGGAACATTCTAGACTTGATCCCAACAAAGAACATTTATTTTATTAAAAATTGTCATATAAGCGACATCGAAGACTGAAATCCCAGTAATTCATCATAACCAAAGAAAAGCACCTTCAAAACTTTTTCTCTTCTCCATAAAAAAATGAGCTTTTGAATTTTGCTTAAGTCCTGTTCACTATTAAAAATATTACTACAACTGACTGGTATCTGTAAATGTGTCTTTAAATCCCCACAGTATAGAAATATTTTGGTGCAAAATCTTATAATCTAAAAATGGAGATAACAGATTTGCTATTCAGCATCATTAAAAAGTTTAATTTATCCCACCACACAGCAGAAAGTAGATTATTTAGGTGACTAATCATACGGGATAAATAATAAAAAAAATCCACAGCAAATGGTTTATAAAGAGCCCATAAACTGAAATTATTTGAAGTACAAAATATTTATGAAGAGCCAAAAGACAAATTAAGAGTGTGACTAAGGACTCACTCTAACATTCTTAGGATTTTGATATTGCAGAATACTTTGTTCTCAATCCAAAAAAGCTCTTAAGCTTAACTTTAAGCATTGCTTGAAACCACCTGCTTAAGTGCTTTGTTGAAGCAGAGCCAGAGCACTTAGTTCACTTCAGGATTGAGCCCACTTTATTGCCAAATAATTATCTGCTAATGCTTTGATTACATACCACTAGGTTTCCAATCACCATGACCATCATGAAGACAGTAAGGCACATGGCTTGGCCTGCAACCTCCATGCAGTCCCACATCGTTTCTATCCATTCTCCACACAGCACTCGAAATACGATCAAAAACGAGTGAAAAAAATCTTGCATGTGCCAGCGTGGAAGCACACAGTCACTTGCGATTTTGCAGACACATTCCTTGTAGTTTTTCCCAAACAGCTGCATCCCAACCACAGCAAAAATGAAGACAATGATGGCCAGCACCAGGGTCAGGTTACCCAGAGCTCCCACAGAGTTACCAATAATTTTTATCAGCATATTTAGTGTTGGCCAAGATTTCGCCAGTTTGAAAACTCGTAACTGGAAGAAAAGAAAAATATTGTTAGGACAACCAGCAAGAAAGACACAAAGATATTTTAAAGTTAATTTTTGGAAGGATATTACTGCAAAACATGCCCTGAGTATGACTGTTCAGAGGGTATCTTCTTGTCTGAAAGCATAAAGATGGAAGGTTCAGTCAACAAAATTTTGTGAAGTTTGAGCTTGATATCCCCAAAGCATAGTTTTAACAGAAGGTCAAAGAAGCTACCGGTCATATCAAATGGAATTTAAAGTCTAGGGTTCATCTGTTAAAATCACCCAGGCCACTTCTCTGCTGGTATTTGTAGAGCAGATCTATTCCTGTGATACCAATCAGAGCACAATACATCTAGTGAGTTGATTTGTTTCTTCATAGCAGGATGTTTAAAATGTATATATACAATAAATATATTGGAAATAGGCCCAGGCCACCCATTGCTATTTCTCTGGATCTCTATCCATCCCCATTGAAGACAGTATGATACTGCAAGTAATAAGGATTTGTACTAACAAAAGATACATCAGGGTCAGCATCATGGCAAACATCAAGCAAATTTTTAAGGCAGAAGAATGTATTGTTTTAATGAAGCCCCATTGAAAAATCAGTGCAATTAATGTATATTTACCAATCTGAATGATCGAAGAACTGAGAGTCCTTCCACATCTGCAAGACCAAGCTCAACCAAGCTAAGTGTTACAATAAAACCATCAAAAATATTCCAGCCTTCCTGGAAATAATAGTAAGGATCCATTGCAATTATCTTGAGAAACATTTCTGCTGTGAAGATTCCAGTGAAGACCTGAATTCAAAATGCATTTTGTTATTTCATTGTGAAATATAATATTACTGATTTAGCTGTTGTCTAGGTTTTTAATTCAACCTACATATCTGCAATGTCTTATCCAAAACTGATACTTAAAAATAGTTCAGTGTACTGTAGTGATTTATTATGCCCACCTTCCCTTAACAAGTGCCATACAAACCAAGTAATTTTTTCAATTAATTAAATTTGATACTAAACAAATTATATAAACTTCTCTTTCATAGCATTTATAATCCAATTTCAACTCTATCAGGATATGGACTTTCTCATGTACTGTACAAACAATATCCCAAATTTGATTTCCACAACATAAACCAGAATTACATGGTAGAACGTCTTTCTTGGTATAGTAATTTCATTATATTGCAGCATGAACGAGGCCAAATCTAAGACTCCAGAGGGGCCGTTTCTTTGCTAGTTTAACCTGCCATAATCCCACTCACTTCAACAGAGATAAGATACCAGATGGGGATCAACTGAGATACAACAATTTGCTGAAGCTGAGGAACTTCTTCCTGGGTGTTGCCAGTAAATTCAGTGAGGTTGCTTGGCCCAATCACTTTAATGTCAGGGATGAAAGAGCATTTAAGAATTCATTTCAAACACGATGTTGCTGGCAATGGTTTCTCATCATGATGCTATGCTGCATAAAGTAGGAGTCTCATTTAGGAGCCACCAAGGCAGTGACCCTGAGTACCTTTGAGAGAAGTCAGATGAATTTCCTGTAGGGTAGGAATGTGCTAAAGCCACCGTTAAAGGCTGCCTGAGCCCTCGTCTGAAATGCTTTCTTTTTTGGTTCTGATAACCCATTTTCAAGCGAGCTGAACAGAAAATGGGACAGCTAAAGAGAATAATCTAACTGGGATAATCAGGAGGTGGACAAGAGTCTGACTTGCTCTGCCTAGGAACACCGATGCTTACGGTAGATTTTATTACAGTCTTTACATACATTCCAGATATAAACACTGGAGAGGGAAAGGTTACTATTTTTTAAGCTACAGGATTGGAACCACGGAGGAAAAGGTAGGAATGAATAAATACAGTTTGAAACACTGAATTAGGTTCCTAACAATCAGGATGGTGAGGTTCTGAAGGAGCTCTAAAGTGGAACTACTGGAGCAGGTGAACCCTGAGAACCTTTATATTGCAGAAGGGGTTTACATCAGGGAGGCTAAGACTGGAAGAGTGTGGTGCTTATAGCCAGGTTGCCTCACACTTTGTAGTCAGATGTACATCAAGATTTGTATGCCATTTTCTTGGTTGGAAAACAAACCTATACAATGCTACAATATAAGATTTTACATTTTACTAGGAAACTCAGATTCAGAGTTTTCCTTATTTTAAGTGTATGAAAACCAGCTATGCATGCGTTTATTAAGTCTCCCTTCCAAATCCTGCAGTTATTCACGTGTTCTAAAATATTTTTCCCTCATTACAAAACCAGGATTATTAAAAATCCCATTATAAGAAATCAAATCTTAAAATAAAAGACAAAGTAGGACTGCAGCTGCAGATACTTCTATGTGATCAAACCTGTCAGTTCAAAAGCATCAGAGCTACAAAAAATTAACTCCTGAATTCTTTAATAATTTATCTTTTTGAAGTTAAAGAGAGAAAATACAGCTGACAACATGAGAAAAAGATATCTTACTAATTATCTGATGATAAAAAAATATAAAAACTATAAGAGGAAAAAATACTGCAGGATATTTTTCATAGTTTTACATAAAGCATATAAAGAAAAAAAATGACATAAAAAGTCTTTTACAGAAGAAAATTCTAGAAATGCTCTTAAATGGCTCTTTTAGCTATTGTAAACCTGTGCTCAGGATACAAAGCAATTAAAAACACATTCATAATTTAAAGATTTGTATTGTATTGATTGAAAAAGTAACACTGTTTATTTGCATAGTATCGTTTTCATAGAAGTAATGCATTTCCTGGTTTAGTAGTTGGACAAATCAACTTCTGTTTAAGATGGACTTTACTTAATGTAGCACTGGTGCCATTTTTAAAATTTTTAATTTGGCTTAGCAGTACACTGCAATATATTGATTTTACAGTATCCTAAGTTACATAAGCCAGGGCTGACAATGAAATTTCCAAAAATGTTCTGATAGAGTCATGTCTGGAGGCCAATAAATATCCAATACATCTACTTTCTAAAGAGAAAAAAAAAAAAAAAAGCAGTTAAAACTCCATCTTTTAGTAATTTCAGACATACTTCCTTCCAAATCATGAACCTAAAAACTCAACAGACTTACCAGATTTCCAACTGAAAGTACATTATTGAATTCATCGGTCATCGGATAATGTTCCATAGCCATAAAGAGTGTATTTAAAACAATGCAAATTGTGATAGCCAGGTCAACAAATGGGTCCATTACCACTAAGTTGACGATATGTTTTACTTTTAGCCAATGTGGACTGCAGTCCCAGATCAAGAAAATGTTTGCAAATTTATACCAACATGGTGGGCATTTCTGTCTTGATTCTTCAAGTTCTGTGGGAAAAAGAAGTTCATAAAGTTGACTATGTGATAGCTCTAACATTCCTCAATCCTATAGGAATTGTACCAATCAAGTTGTCAATCTGAACTGGTAATAATTAAGCTCCTATAAGCGTGCCCTTTGTACTTTTTTAGAGGGCTTTTCAAGAAAGTCTTAAAAAATTGCTGTCAAATGTATTTATTTTGTTCAAAGCTTACGTATCAAGCACAACTTCTTTGTATTCCAATCATTATTCTGATCAGTATCAATTTATGCATTGATTTTTATTATGTATTTTATTGTTCTTGACTTCACTTCAGTCTGTTCCTCCCACTTACTGCTCTATCATGTAAATATTTTTATTTTTAAATTTGTGGTGTTTAGGTAAAAATTTTCAATATAATTTTTGTTCCTAGTTAAGAAAAAAACATTTTTATCACCTGGAATAGCACTTCTTTAAAGAGTAACTGAATAAACATAACTGCTAAAAACACATATATATTTTAACAATGCTTGCATATATTTGAAAAGTGTTCAGTGGCCTTTTGGTGTCCAATAATATATTTTTAATTAATATGGATAAGCACCCACTTAGTTATGACCATCAAATATAACTCTAGTCCTGATGACCACATGAGATAGATGGTGGCAAAACAACGAGATAGAAATGCTTACTTATGTAATAACATTAATGTTTACTTAGGTGATAACCTCAATGAATAAAGAGCTTTGAGAGTACTGATCAATGTGTTGGTTTGTGGGATGGTATCTGTTAATTAAGCTATTTAAAATCAGTTTTTAAGTTTCAACTCAATTTTTCAGAAGTCCATTGAGAAACAGGTACTAAATATTAGGCTATGCATAGCACACACCTTCCACAGTGTTTGTGAGAATGCTAGCAATACTCATGGCTCTTACCCTTAAAGCTGGATCTTCGAGGAAGTCCATAGAAACATGGAAAGAGCTTGATATTCTCTTCCTCATTTCTGTTTCTGTAGTGGTGCCCTATACAGAGAACAATAATAGGTGAGACCATGCTGGAATAATAAGATAAGCAAAGACCATAGAGAACCCTGCTATTAATGTCTTAACTTGGATACGTGCTTCGTGCACTTCAATTTTTATCATGTCAGACTTTTATTACTTTTCAGTATCTTCTAAATAACTTTTAAAAGATATGAGTGAATAGTTACCTACTGTTCAAGCCTGAGAGTTTATTTACTTAACTTTTGCATTTCTTTCCTTCAAGCTATGAAAAATTATTTAAACAAATTGGAAAGGATTGAGTTCAAAATATTGTATGCAATTTTTGCAAACTGTAATTTTTTTCTTTTTTCTCGCTGACTGAATATTCTGGGGCTTGTAACATAATAGTCTGTTCCCCTAGGCAAACTGTAGCAAGCAAGAAAAGTCTGACCTCCTCATGCTTCCTCATGCTAGTGTTTTTTTAGTAATGTGAGTAGACAACTTTGAACTAAGCAAGAAATTTTTTTGAGACATCTTCTCTTACCTTGTATATGGTAAGAGAATGGCAGCAATATGTGCTGCACGTATGTTCACACAGACGTGTATTTTTGGAAGTATGTATTGAAATGTGATCTTCCAATGAATTATTTGTTATCTACACTTCAAAACTGCACCAGCAATGGATGGGAAATATATAGCAATGAGAAATAAAGGATAATAAAGAATTGACAACTTCCTTACATTTTTAACAGTGCTGATAAGGAAGAATGTTATCAAAATTAACTAATAAAGCTAATTTTGATAAAGTGGTAACAGCAGCATCATATTGATTTCAGTTATATGATAACATTTTTGTACACTATTTTCAATTGTATAGTAAGTATGTTTTTGCAGACCATAGCCAGACCTTTAGGTCAGCAAAAGTAAATTATAATACTGTAATACAGTAAAATATAGTGCTTTTATGAATGTGTAAGTAAGTTAATATTTTATTACTTGGAAACTGCGAATTGCATTTGTTAGTTATGAGAATATTTGTAAATAAATGCTTAGGTTGCAAACCTGTCTTAGCTATTTTACTTATTAAAGATTTTACAAGATGCAGAAGCATTCACAGCTTGACCAACCAGGAAGCATTGCCAAGGGTTCCATTCTGTAGAAAACACTGGCTGGTGCAGTAAGAAAAGGCCACGATGCCTAAGCTATTCAAAACTTTCTTACATTGTCATCAGTAGCTGGTTTATCTATTATCACCTCTGGCAGAAGCTGTCCAACAGGCGATGTAGGAACAGATGGTCCACCAACCAGGGAAACCACCCCATTGCAATCCACAGTGCTGTGCATCTTCCCATTCACTGGAAACACTGCCAGCATCCTGGATGACCTACTGGCCTGACTAATGTTACTGTTGCGCCGTTCACCGTGTCTGCGCGGCACAAAGAGAGAATCTCTTCTGCTATCATTGTCTTCAAAAGTGCTGTGCTCATCATCAGCAAAGTCATTTTCTGATCCTATATCCTTTGCTCTACCTCTGAAGCTGAAAAGACTTGTTCTGCTATTGCGCCTTGGGGAAAACAGGGAGCCACGAATGCTCAGCAAAGACTGCAGGCAAACAAAATTAGTGATTATTAGCTGAAACCTTCAAACTTAGCATTGTTCATAGGATAGCATAGGATTTTTTTTTCTTATATGAGAGTAACCATTTTTTCCAGAAGCTAAAAGCTACTGTGAAATTTTAGTATGTATTTAATTATATTTATATTTTGCACATAGAAGTACCACTGTTCATGGATTCTTAAGACAAAACCAACTTTGAGTACTCCTTTCTCCTACTGTCAGTTAGAGATGCTGGTTAGAGTAGTTGCACAATACTCCTCAAACAAAAAAGGGAGCCTATACATGAACACATACATTTCATGCATACACATATTGAACCAACCTCCAAACATCATTGAAACAGGACGAGAATATGAGGCTATCATAATGGAAAAATACTGTAGCATTTTAATAAGTTTAGATAATACATAATCACCCTAAAAAAAACCCCACAGAATAAATCAGAGAATATTTTAATAGGATTTTTAAACAATTCTATTACAAGAATAGAGATAGGAGGTTACACTTAATTCTCTGTGGTGTTTTTACAAGACAATCTAGCAGCTACAGCACTTTCGCTCAAGCACTAGCAACAATAATAAAGTTTAATGAAAATCTCAATGTTTCCTTTCTTTAGGCAGTAAGGTCATATTAGAGTACCAGGAAGACTAAAGTAGTTTTGTAACAGACTACGATGCTTTAAATGCATGCTTCTACTAAAAATATCTACATGCAATACCTGATGTGGAGAAGAATACTTCTTTTCGTATGTCAATCTATTGCCTTCAATAGATAATCGGAAACCTTTCCTTCTGATGCTTTCTTCTGATTCAGACTTGTGAAATTCATCTTCATCTTTTTCCTCTCCTCCAGACTGTTCTTTCTGTTTTCTTTTTTTCCTTCTGTTTCTTCTCTCTTTTGCACTTTTTGAGCTCAATTTTGATGCCTCTGAGGAACTTTCTGAGAGCCCTCCTGCTTCTCCCGCAGCACTGGGCTCCCTTGACTCCGCGGATGCTGTTACTGCTGCTGCTGCCACCGCTGCTGCCTGCCATGATGCAGAATGAATTTGTGTCACTGAGGAAACCGCGACATTGTATTTTTTTAAAAATTTGCTTATACAGAATTTCTAGTCCAAACACCTTGAGTCTTAACACTTTCCATAGGATATCCTCTCCCTAGTTTTTTTCTAATTTTTGTTACTCAGTTGGCTCAAGATATGCCTTGGTCATAGCCTTCTTCCATCTTTCATGAGTAGTTTTAAATGCAGAAGTCTAACAGATTGTATTAATGACACTAGACTAAGAAAAACATAGTGAATAATGTATACCTAGTTTTGAATATTCCTTCTTGATTATGGCTGGATCATTCACATTACAATGTCTTTAGTGCAGAATAGAAAATCTCTGACCTAGCTTTGTTGTTGAAAGCCCAACAGGGTGTTTTATAACTCCAAATTCAGAAATGAGAGGATAAATATCTCTAGCAAAATTACTTCCATACGCTTCTACATTACTATACCATAAATTCTACCTGAGCTGCTTCTTGTTGCTTCTTTAGTTGTTCCAGCATCTGTTGAAATTCTGCCTCTTTCTGCTCTGCTTCTTCCATAGTTGCTTGATTCTGTTCTTCGTAGGCCATGGCGACCACAGCCAAGATCAAGTTGATCAAGTAGAAAGAACCCAGAAAAATCACCAGAACAAAAAATATCATGTATGTCTTCCCAGCAGCACGTAGTGTCTGGAAATAAGAATACATTTATAAGCAAGAATAGGTTAACAAAATTTCTGGTTTTCATCCTGTTAATAAGAAAGATTACGTAAGAAAATTGATTTTAGGCCTCTTGCATTATTGGTACAAACATATTTAGTTTATTTTGCATTAAAAAATTCTTACCAATTGATAAAGGTTTTCCCAGAAGTCTTGAGTCATCAAGCGAAATAGTGACAAGAAAGCCCAGCTGAAGGTGTCAAAACTTGTGTAGCCATAATTGGGGTTTCTACCAGCTTTCACGCATGTATATCCCTCTGGGCACTGCCTACAAAGACAAACTGGGTGTTACCTTATATAGCTATTTTAATTTTATCACCTGGAATGTCCAGGAGAAGATTAGGATTAAAAAGTGGATTTTTCTTTAGTTATTCAGACTAGAAATAATAACAATTGTGCTTTTTAATAGGAAACTATTTTAAAGGACACTAGAAAAAAGCAGGAAAGGCACATAAAATTAGTGCCAAAAGTTTAATCTAAGCTTTTAAAACATAATATTCCAAATAATTTTTTAATTGTTAATGCTGTAACATTAATGTCAATGTCAGTGTTTTCTACTGGCTGAGCCTGTTAGTACTCATATGTGCAGCTGGAACTGCAAAATAACACACATTTTCCAGCTGCTGTGTCTGTTACTTCTCATCCAGGCAGGAACTACACCAAAACCAAATTACTGATTCATTCATGCAAAGATTAAGCTCATCTAACCAATCCACTGAGCCCTAACAAGGAACCCAAATCCTCAGTCCAGTGTAAAATCCTAGTCTTTCTCATGTGAAAGAAAGCGGTCAATCAAAATACAGCCCCCCTCCAGCTACACATCTAAAGAACATGGATCTAATTTGTACACGGGGCAATAATATGATGAAATTTGGTCTTACCCAGCATCAGAGCTATTCCCACAAAGCAGAGCATCGTTTTGCCCTTCCAGAAAATAAAAATGACCTGTTTAGAAAAGAATTTTTTAAAAATTATAAAATTCTGAATATGAAAGTTTTCTTACAGCTCTGTGAAATAAATAGTCCTGCTCTAAAAGTGTTAAGGTGATTTCAGATGCCATTCTAAACAAGTAATATTATTTTTTCAGCATGACTATAACTTTAGAGTAAATGACAGTATGAATTGCAGTAAGTGCTATCACTCACAGAACTTACTGTTAAAATGCCCACATGTACTAAAAATCCTATCAAATGCTGCAGGATGTAGATGAAATGTACAATTCTCCCTCAGTCTCATCACTGAACTAAGTCACACTTTGTGAAATTATATTGTACAGTTATTTATTCTAATAAATAAATTGTATCTGAAAAAAATATACCGATAGTTTATTTCAAACTTTCTGATCAGTATTGCCAAGGGTTCCAGTTTGTCATGTACAAACACTTGTGACAGTTATCTAATATGTGAGCTCTGAAAAAATCCCACCCAGCTGCCAATGGCTTTAACTGTTGTGGGTGTGTGCACACTGCAATTAGCCCTCTGGTTGGTATGAAGGCCCTGGGTATACATCTAAATTTAACTTGGACAGAATTACTGCAACAGTCACCAACTTGTGTAGGTAGGATTTTAGCAGTATATGCTGAAATTATTGATCACCTCAGGAAAGAAAGATCAGGTAAGTTCCACCAAATCGCTCTGTAGCCAACCATCCCATAATCTGTATAGTAATCTTGTATTTACAGGACATTTTAGCTGGTTTAAACAACAAAGACATTGACCTGTCTATTCTTAGAAGAATAAAGAGATGATGTGCAAAACATTATGCTTATTAAGATTCACTTTGACTGTATCCTTGAGAAGTGCTTTTCTTTTTGCCCTCAAAGCAGACGCCTGCAGTTGCTAAGCTCTTGATTTTGGAAGAATTATCGCAGGGGGAGCTTCCTCCCGTAGTAAGGATTTCCCGTTTGGTCACAGGCTTAAGGATTCAATTTACACAGGGTCAGACCATGTAGCCCAGTACCCCATTTCCGATGGAGAACAAAAGCTTTGCCTCAGGATGTCTGTAAGGACAGGGCAGGGACATGAGCACCTCCCCTGCTTCCAGTACTTCTGAAGTACAGCAGCTCCAGAGCTAAGGTGGTACCTTTTTTGCTTCCTGAGAAGATTTAAACCCCGCATTGTTTTGGTTTGTGGTTTTTTTTCCATTGAACTGGCCTGTTAGATTCCCTTAAAATGATCTCATTTGAAATGCTACCAGCGCAGCTGAGTGTAAACTGTAGACTCTGGCTGTGCTGCCCAAGCAGGGTTACCACACAAGCTAGTGAATTCTGAGTCTGAGGAGGTGTCACAAGCTACTGGCTCTGCACATTGATTTGCTGCAGGAGGGTCATGGTACCCCAGCCAGATGTATCTCTCCATCCTGTGAGAAAAAATTCACCATTTGGAAAAGTTAGGTTTTAAGCTGCACATAGGCCTTGTTCTGACACTCTGTGAAGGACTCAGTTTCAGTGTCTTATGATACACCTGCATCTTAGAGTCAAAGAATCATAGAATCATTTTGTTTGGAAGAGACCTTTAAGATCATCAAGGCCAACTGTTAACCTAGCACTACCAAATTACCACCAAACCATATCCCCAGGTACCACATCTACATGTCTTTTAAGTACCTCCAGGGATGGTGACTCAACCACTTCCCTGGGCAGCCTCTTCCAATGTTTGATAACCTTTTCAGCGAAGTCAAAGAATCATAGAATCATTTTGTTTGGAAGAGACCTTTAAGATCATCAAGGCCAACTGTTAACCTAGCACTACCAAATTACCACCAAACCATATCCCCAGGTACCACATCTACATGTCTTTTAAGTACCTCCAGGGATGGTGACTCAACCACTTCCCTGGGCAGCCTCTTCCAATGTTTGATAACCTTTTCAGCGAAGGAATTTTTCCTAATATCTAATCTAAACCTCCCCTGGCACAACTTGAGGCCATTTCCTCTGGTCCTATTGCCTGTTACTTGGGAGAAGGGACCAACACCCACCTTGCTACAACCTTCTTTCAGGTAGTTGTAGAGAGCGATAAGGTCTCCCCTCAGCCTCCTTTTCTCCAGGCTAAACGACCCCAGTTGCCCCAGCTGCTTCTCATAAGACTTGTTCCCTAGACCCCTCACCAGCTTTGTTGCCCTTCTCTGGACACGCTCCAGCACCTCAATATCTTTCTTGCAGTGAGGGGCCCAAAACTGAACACAGTATTCGAGGTGCGGCCTCACCAGTGCTGAGTACAGGGGGATGATCACTTCCCTAGTCCTGCTGGCCATACTAATCCTGATACAGGCCAGGATGCTGCTGGCCTTTCTGGCCACCTGGGCACACTGCTGGCTCAGTGCTGCATGGGGTTGTTGTGACCCAAGTGCAGGACCTGGCACTTGGCCTTGTTGAACCTCATACCATTGGCCTTGGGCTCATCAATCCAGCCTGTCCAGATCCCTCTGTAGAGCCACCCTACCCTTAAGTAGATCAACACTCCTACCCAACTTGGTGTCATCTGCAAATTTACTGAGGGTGCATCTTACAGGGTACAATTTTCTGTACTGTGCAAAGTGCACAACCCTGTGTGCAGCCGCTGTCATTCTGGGCTGGTGTGCGTTGCAGAAAACTGCACTGTGCTGAAACACAGCTGTAAATAGTAAAGGTAGTCGACATGATGCTGATCACAGCTGACCCTTATGAAGCAAATCTTATTCTGCATCATGTCAGCTAATCATGATTAAAACATGCTGGAACATAACAGCTGGTTGGGAAGAATGAAAATCTGACTTGATATAGTTTACATGGAGCAGT